ATTGTTCCCTGTATGTCTCATATGTATACCATCCCTGCCATGACTTGGTGCAAAATGCAAGGGGTGGTGAATCATCATAACTCTTGTGCACAGTGATTTATTTCGTAGCTGGTAAAATTACAATAGAAATAAGTGAGGATATGAATAACAGGTTCAAGCATACAAGGTGCTCCAAAGTTGTCTGTAGCAAGGTTTCTACTCCTAGAGCAGCAGCCGATAAGGGTGAATATATGATAATGGTAGTAATGTAGAAATTACAAAAAAGTGCCAGAGACAGACCCCAATACGCCAGAAATTCGCCCCAGTAATTAATGGTACCTTTACAAAAACATTGTATGCATTGTGATATAGTATTCTGATGGATAGCTGAAGGGGAGAAATAAAGGAGACTAAGAGATAGCTAAAGGAGAGGAATAAAGAATACTGCAGTTTAAGCTACATGGGGTAGTGTCTGGCGCATATTTGGATAAAAGGATGATTCAAGAATCTATCAAACTTTAAAGTTTGTAACAAATGCTAGATCTTTCCGTATATAGCATAAATAAAATTAATTTTACTTTTGTGACACTGTTTATCTTCAAGGGCCATAAGGCAATGAAAAAAGAATACCAACAGAAAGAGGTTTGTGGACATACACGTCCAGGAACAGACACAAAAACATGAATGTGCACGAGTTTGAGCACAGACACAAAAACATGGATGTGCAGGTGCCAATCACAGGGAACGGTAGGAAATACTTAAAAATGACAAAATTTTGATATATACTTGAAATTTTTACTATTTTCTGCACAAGTGTGAGTATGATAATAGATGGCTTAGTATTCTTTTCAATGTGATCCTGATTTTACAATGACAATTCTCGTCACTAAAACTCAGTAACAGGTCTAAAATGGAAGTTAATTTTCGCGGCCTATTTCGCGTAATAATTGTTTACTTGCATACATATACTTACAGAAGACTACGTGTATTGTATACATGCATGCATAAAAATGCGTTAAAGGTGTCTATTTATATCTTAAACTAATTGATGCAATGCAAGTCAGAGGTTAGAAGCAGTCAGAACATACCCTGTTGTAGGCGTTACGATGATGTCAACCTTTTTGAAAACTTCCATATGATAGTACATTATCCTTCTCCTGCATAACAATTACGGGTGTGAATAAATTACTGAAAAAATAATGTTCTTGTGTGTGAGAGCACGCGCGCATGCACACAAACATAATTCGTAAAATAGGATTGCTAGAGCCATGTATCAAACTGAACAAGTTAATCATTTCCTGCAAAAACCTGTCAGACATTTTAAGCAGCAATACAGTAACTGATGATTAGCACACCTGAAATAGACAAACAGTGAACCTAACCACACTCAATACTTGGGAAGTGAATCTATTTTCAAAAAGTGAGTAGTAAAAAAGACCAAAAAGACCTCTGAAGTGAATTGACTCACTAATCAACACAAATACTTATGAATATCATCACCATCACCCTCATACAGAGGGGAGCTCAAGTTATAAAAAGGATCACTTCAACACTTTCTTCATCCATCAATGCTCATTCTTCTTCATTCATCTTCCTTTTTAAAGAGGATCAATTGGTATCTAGAAAGATGCATCCCAGCATCCCACAAGGAAAGCTAAGGCAATTTAACAATAGATTTGGAAAAAGAGCAACAACTCCATGTCTAATCCACAGATAAGGCTGGTCACCAAATCAATGCAAGTGGTGCCCTTCGCCGCCTCAGATCTTCAGTTTGTTGCCGTTCTTCGCCGCCGTCGTCACCATCTGCTCAAAGAAGGCCTAGATCTGAGCTCGTTGTCTTCAGATCTGTGCTCGTAGTTCT